AAATGCAACTTGAGTGTTGCCTTGCCTTCCTCATGTTAGACGTCTAAAATTCAGCTACTATATATTTTATATTACCTGACCAAATAAGCAGTTTCGTCGTTTGTATCAGCCAGTATGTGATGTATACATCTTTAATGGTTTAACTTTTAGTGAGTGTCAAAACGAATAGGCTATTTTTGGCGAAATAAATCCTCCGTGTTTTGTGTATACGGTGCCCGCGGCAATATTTATCATACATCAGTTTGTACACAAAAAGCAGAATTAATTTCAATTGCTATCTGACACATTGCCAACATCAAGATTATACAATCGTGCCCTTTGGCAGTACGTACGTTTGCACCATTGAAATTCAAACTGTTCCCAATGTCAGTATTCCCCTTTACTCCTTCAGTTAAAGTTAGAATTCTATTTGCTTTAAAACAATTACTGTGTTTGAAACGTTCTGTAGAACAGTAGTATTCTCAGTGGCGGCGCCAGGCTTCCAAATTTGGGGGGGCATTTGAGGGGCAAACTCAAATTTGGGGGGGGCAAGATAGAATTTTTAAAAGGTCGCCCCCCCCAGGAAATTCGCGCCCCCCCCTCAAAACGTGGCGATATTCCTAGGAATATTGCCCCAGGGGGCGAATATCCTAGGAATATCGCCTCCCAGGGGGTGGGGCGAATACCCTAGGAATATCGCCCCGTTTTAGGACATGCGCTCCCCACACATGCGATGTGGTTTATTCAAATAATTTCGTGATACTTTCATCTTATTATTGCCTTACACGTTTGAGAATTTAACTCTGCAAAACTAAAGCTTTTTTGTCTCTTTTTGAAACGTATTATTGGAGTATTGGCAAGTTTTACCATTCAGAGATTTACAAACTAATATTGAAACTGTAAAAAACAGTTTCATGTATACGCGCATTCACTAATGAGTAATGACAACTTATAAGCCATACATTTTCCGATAACGACAGAACGCTTGTGTAGCCTTTAGTTGCTCTTAGTAACTAATAATTTTTTTTGAGGGGGGGGGGGCAAAAAATAATTTTGGGGGGGCATTTGCCCCCCTTGCCCCCCCCTGGCGCCGCCACTGGTGGTGGTGGTAGACTTTCTGCTGGCTTGAATTGAGCTGCCCTTACTGTCAATTTACCACGCTGGGGGATCACTGCCCTATTTGTCACAAAAACTCTTGGTGCTTTCAGACATTTATACTTTGTTAAAATATAACTAGGTGGTGTTGAACTATGGAAGAAAATTGAGAAGTATACATAAGACTCACAACATTACAGTTTTAATATTTTATAGTTATAAATGTACAATATATTTTACAGGCAAAGAAGGGTTCATGCTTCATTATTGCAGGTTTTTATTATATATTAACATTGATAGGTACTACATTAAACACAATGTTTGTTTGCCTAAAACATGTATTATAATATCAATTAGGATCTTATATAGCTCAAAACAAAACTTAAAATATGTGGATATTTTGCGTTTAATATTAATAATGAAGCTTAACAATCATATAACTACAAGGATACGAAGTATCTAGATGATTCATAGCGTAGCCATAGTGGTGTACGAGGATATGATCATCCATATTAAAAGCGTAATATTTCGTGAATGGCGTTGGGGGCGACGGGGGGCGAACGGTAAAAGTTGTAGATTAGACATCTGTTTTAAATATTGGCGACAAATAATGGACATCAGAGAAGTGAGAAAACATATTTTTTCATTTAAACGTCGCTGGCACACACAGGGTTTGTTTACACGTGTGTGAGTGACGGGACCCATTGAGACAACTGATACGAAAACAATATCGACACTTACCCGACAAAAGATGTAATATATTCAACAGTAAAACAAAATGCGCCAAGATATGCATTTCTATCGAGGAAAATTTACATACATAGCGAGAAAAATATGCAAATTCTAAAGCTTTTTGATTTCCTTGGCTTTGTTTTTGTTGTGAAGCGCAAATGTAGATACGTTGTGCTGATTGGTTAAACTGTGCACGTGACCGCCTGTCCAACCTCCTCTGATAATGCACCTATCAATGTTAACCTCCAGAGGGGGGGGGGGGGGTATTTGATCATCAATTGCATCCCCACCCTGGGGATTTTGATCAGCATTTTGGCCCCAAGTTGGGGCAATTTGAACCAATTAACCTTTATTAATATAGTATTTATTGCAATTTATTGCAAAATAGTGGGGCATTTGACCGATATTTATTGCTCGATGGTGGGGAATTTGATTGAAAATTTGCTCAAAAAGTCAAATGTCCCATCTATGCCCGACCCCCCCCCCTCTGGGGCTTAACATTGATAGGTGCATAATACCACAGATGAGGTAAGTACAGATGTGAATCTCCTGTGAAATTGCTGATTGTTTTGTGTCACACGGAATTCTCACTTCCGGCGAGCGCTGGCAAGTGTCATTCTGAAATTTAATAAGGAAAGAGATAGGAAAACGCCGTTCGAAAGACGAAAAATTGTTTTTTTAAAAAGTCTACGCTACCGACGGCTATTTTTGGAATTAATTCTTCAAGAGTAACGGTAAGTGATCACTTTTATTGATTTCTTTTTATTAAAAGTGTTAATATAACATTTTATTTAGCAAAAGTTTGTTTTTTTCCCTATCTACTTCTTATTAAAATCGTGAAATACACTTGCTGGGAATTTCAGATGCTCGTGCATAAATAACAAAACAGCGAATGATATAAATGCCTCAAAACATAACTCTCGCATAAAAAAACATGAATACTTCTATAATATGTATAGTTTTATTCCTCTGCATTATCAAAATTTAATAAAATAGTGAATTAATACAATTTTAAAGTTTATTTAATCCGTGTGACACATTTTCACAGGAGATTCACATCTGTATTACCTCATCTGTGATAATACTATTAAATTTTCGAAATCTCCGGCGTGCAATTTCCAAACTTTCCAGTCTGGGCATCATTGATTTTTCATCTTCATATTTAGCAGATATGGACTGAAGAATTAAAATCTTCATGCTCAAATTAGTCCATTGGAAATTTTGGGTTGAGGGTTATAAGTCTTTAATATAAATACAGTATTTTGAAAATTTTGTTTTTCTATATTTTATACATTTCACAGGAACTTCCGCTCCAAAGAAAATATGCTTACATAGCGAAAACAACATTTGTCAAAACGCCGTTCAACTCACGCCCTGAATATCCAAACATCATGAAATTTGTGTGTGGTATAGACTAATTTGAGCATGAAGATTCCAATTCTGAGGTTCACTTTTAGCAAAGATGTTTAGATAGTGAGATGAAAAATTGATGACGTCAAAATATAAACTCGGATCGGAGAATAATTTTAAAATTACTTCTACAAGTACCGTAATATTTTACAGTATTTTAATGGGATTTGTATCATTATTGGGCATTTCCGTTTTGTCCCTAAATGATGGTACGTCAATGAGCACTACTGGACGCTACACTTGAAAGTTGAAA